AATCTCAGCCTCCTGAGTAGTTAGGCTTACAGGCATGAGCCACCAGTGCCTGGCTATATTTAGTTCTAGTCTACTTGAGAATATACCCTCAGCTGGGGGCCGGCACCTGCCTGCTCTGTGTTGTCCTCCTTTTTCAGACATGACCCTGGATTTACTCAGTGTCTTGAAGAGATCCCATGGCCTCTTCCTTGACGCCCCTCCCTGTCCTGTCTCTGTGTCTCTGTCCCTAACAGGTTTGTTTCTGGTCCTCCTTCCTCCACCGTGATTGGCCACTCATTCTTTTCCTGGCTAAAGTCCTCTACAGATCACCTCTGCCCCGCCTGCTGCTTCCCAGGATGACCGGATGTCAGAGAATCTCCTTCTTTCCCCCCCCCTTTTCTGCACCAGTGACCCCTCTCCAGCTCAACAGAAGGAGGGAAGGAAAGAAGGAGAGAAGGAGGGAGGGAGGGAGGGCCCTAAAGATCCTCACTGTCCTCCCCCACAGCTGGCAAATAGCATACTTGAATCATGGCCTTGGAACACAAATAATCTGCTCTCATTTATTTAAAAAACCACCCACAACCAAAACACACCACACTGATAAGGGCTCTGCAGAAAGATGATCCAGAGTAAATCAACGTCCCTTCCTCAGCAGAACAGCAAAGAAATTCTAAAAGGAGCCTTGCTGAACTTATTTGGGGGGTATTTGGGGCCATCTGGAGAGTGCTAACCCTCATTAGCCCCTACTAAAAACAGACCGCTGGAATTTTTACATGCAGCTGTTAAATTAGGAGGGGAAACTTCTAGGGCATTATTATATACACTCCCACCCCTTGCGAGGCCAGCAGGCTGTTCCTATTTTCTATGGTTGAAATCACTGCTCCTCCCATTCAGTCCTGATTCTTACTCCACCCTCCAGCCATGGCCCTGGGCTCGAGAGCAGGAGATCCACAGCAAAGCTTCAGTCAGGTACACAGGAAGAGTTCAGACATTTCACATGAAGACACCTAATCATGTGTAGAAAGGATGAACACAGCCTCTCTGTGTGTGTGATGTCTACGTGTGTGTGCATGTATGTGTTCGCACGCATGTGCACTCATGCATGAGCTGTGTATAAAGTGGATTTATTACTCCCTCATATAGCATCTTTTATTTTCAATACTGAGGTTGGAACTCAGTGCCTAGTGCTTGCTAGGTGAATGCTCTACCAGTTAGGCTGTATACCATCATATTTAATTCTTATGGATTTAGGACAAGGTGGGTGTTTTGGAACTAATTTTCAAAAGAGGAAGCAGCCTTAAATGTTATTGGTTTGACTAAGTCTCTTTATCACTCTGTACCTTACACCAGCTCTAGATGATCGGGCTATTTGTTTTTGTGAAGGGAGAGGTTTAAAATCTTCAGGGAAGAGTGTGGTCACAAATGATTATCTGAGAGGATGGTGACCAGGGCAGGAGAAGAAGATGACAGAAAAATCCTAAACCCAAAGGCAGACCAGACACTACATGTATGCCAAAACCCAAAGAACACCAAGGGATAGAAGAATCCCGATCATTGATGGCACAGTTGGAAGTTCATTAAGGGAAACTTACATCAGCTGGGAACTAATGTCTTGTGCCTATAATCCTAGCTTCTCAGATGAATAAGCATTGAAGGATCAAGCTTTGAGACCAGCTGGGGCAGAAAACTGAGCTAGATTCATTTTTTTTAAAGAAAAAAATAAACAAAACAAAAAACCTTGCAAACAACAGCATTAGTGGGTTAGCACAAGCCCATCTAGCATGAGGCCCTGGGTTCAAGCCCCACGATCACTAGAAGAAGTGGTGGAGCTTCTTCTCGGCATTTCTTCCATGCATGAACTTCCCCCGAGAGGGGGCATGTGCCAGGGCCCTGAGGATGTACAGGGCAGTCTCTGCTTCCCATATGCACATTCAGCTTCTCGCTGGGCCTACAAGATTGCTCTTAGGTCTGGGCTCTCCATCACCTTGCTGAGCTCCTTAGGCCCCAGGTGGTCACAACTCCTGAGTATTTACTAGCCTTGATGGTCCTTCTACCAAGAGTATTTTGTAATTTTCCCTTCGCGAAACATTTCTGAGAGTTCTACCTGCTCGGCCCCTGACTAATACAGGAAGGACCTTAGTGTTCTGAAGGACACTGGAGAAATCTGAACCCAGACAGCTCTGCTCAGTGGTTGGATATGATGGAGTACCCAGCTTTAATCCATGAATTTTCATAGGCCAGATCCCTTGTCATTCTCCAAATACATAGAGGCTGCAACCTTCCTGTCCTGGGATGGTCCAGGCAGCGCTGAGACTTGCAGATGTTATTCCGTTCCCATCAAATGGGTCTGGACCCAGATCCCCACCAAGAGTCTCCTTAGTAACCACTTTAGGTCCGTCATTCTGATTGGATGGTCTTGTCAGTACTATTTTGTTAAACTCACTTCAGTTTGGAGGAGTTTCCTCACACGTCCTTGGTCATCCCAAGATGGGCAGCTGCTTCTTTATGTGTGAATCAAGTCAGAAAAGCCCAGCAGAGATAACACTCAAATAAACAGTCTCCTGCTTATATGGTTCGGTGGAAAGTTCTTCAATTTTAAGAGGGTACAAAAGCTAGATAGAAAAAGACAGAAACCAAATCTGAGATTTTCTAATGTTGATCTTTCTCCTTGTCTAGAGATGTGTGATATACTCCTCTCACATTACTATTCCTGGGCAGTAGCAATGGGTTACTACTCCCAATCAGCCCATTATCAGGGAAAACAACCAACACTCCACGGTGTAATAGCCAGTACATGACATAGATAGTCAACACTCCGTTATACAATAGGGTTTGGGTCAGGTGACATTTGCTTAGATGTAGGCTAATATGTGTGCTAAGCACATTTTAAGGCTAAGCTATGGTATTGGGTAAGTGAGGTGCATTAGTGCATTTTAAAATATATTCATGCCAGGCACCAGTGGCTCATGCCTGTAATCCTAGCTACTCAGGAGGCTGAGTTGCAAGGATTGGGGTTCAAAGCTAGACCAGGCAGGAAAGTCTGTGCAACTCTTATCTCCTATTAATCATCAGAAAACCAGAGGTGGTGCTGTGGCTCAAAGTGGTAGAGCAGTATTCTTGAAGGAAGAAACTCAGGGATAAAGCCCAGGCCTTGAGTTCAAACCTCATAACTGACTATATGTGTGTGTGTGTGTGTGTGTGTACATATATATGTATATATAATCAGTTATGTATATATAATTATTATAAAAAGGATTATTATACAAAGTACTTATACAAAGGAAGTTCAGTTCAACCTATGAATTTATGAGTACAAGGCAGATCATGAATTGCATTTTCCATTTGTGATGACATTACTGGAGCGGATCTCCATCCTAAAGTGAGGAGCATCTGTGGTTTCAAGATGGCCACTTTCCAAGAAAGAAGAGAACAAAGAGCAGAGAGGGATAACAGGCCTCTCACAAGCTGCCATTGTAGACAGGGCAGTCATTTTACAGCCGGTGAGCCTCTTCTCCAGGCAAAAGGAAACTGTCATCCAGGAAAGTTTTGAATTTCTGCTCCCTCTCGCCAATTGTCCTCAAAGCACCTTAAACCCGGAACCTTCAGAAGGACCTGAGATGCTGCCAGTGGGTTCCTGGGAACTTACTTCTGTCCTTTCCCCAGTCTTAGCCGCTTGGTTTCTGATTCCCCTCCATGTTCCCCTGCACAAAGTATATGTAGAGAAATAAATGGTGGCTTTGTTTCGTTGTGTTGTGACTTTCGGTGCTGGGGATTGAATGCAGAGACTCATGCATGCTAGACAAATGTTATATTGTGAAGCCATTTCCCCAGTCTAGGTGGGGAAGAAAGAATGAATCTGAATTTCTAGGCACTTCTCTGAGAGGCAAATGTTTGAAGTAACAAGGTAGAAAATGATGTGATCACAAGGATGTCTAGGAATTGTCTATGATCACCATTGGACTTCTTGCTTTCAAAAAAGGAAGAGAAAGCAGGCACTGGTGGCTCACACCTATAATCCTAGCTACTCAGGAGGCTGAGGATCATAGTTCAAAGCCAGACCTGGCAGGAAAGTCTGTGAGATTTTTTATCTCCAATTAACTACCACCAGAAAACCAGAAGTGGCACTGTGGCTCAAGTGGTAGAGCACTTGCCTTGAGCTGAAGAGCTCAGGGACAGCACCCAGGCCCAGAGTTCAAGCCCCATGATGGACACACAAAAAAAGGAAGAGAAGGCCAGTCACCAGTGGCTCATGCCTATAATCCTGCCTACTCAGGAGGCTGAGATCTGAGGATCGCAGTTCAAAGCTAGCCTGGGCAGGAAAGTCCATGAGACACTTATCTCCCACAATGTATTCAAAAAAGCTGGAAGTGGCATTGTGACTCAAGTGGCGGAGCCCTAGCTTTGAGCATAAAAGAAGCTTAAGGACAGTGCCCAGGCCCTGAGTTCAAGCCCCAGGACTGGAAAAAGAAAAGGAAGAGAAGATAGGAGGTAGATTAGTGCTGCATTTATGCACCAGGCTCTGAGTTCAAATCCCAGAACTGAGAGAAAAAGAATTAAATTAAGTGAATTTAAATTTAATATTTCAAAACCTAATATTTTGAAACCTAGTATTTTGAAACTTCAGTTTCAAATGCCAATCATAATATCTACCTCACAGAGTTATTACCAGGGGCATTTGTGGTGCCTTCTGGTTATTCATTTCTTCCCTTTAGAAATATTCTATTTCAAGCCTACAAGAAAGTGGCATAGATACAATACTCCCATCTAATCAAACACCTATTCTTCAGTTTTGTCCATTGGTCCAATAATATCATCACATTATTTTTCACCCCCCCAAGTCAAGATCCAATCTATAATCATCTGCCACATTCTTGTTGTCATATCTCTTTAGCCCTCTATAATCCAGAACACTTCTAATAGCTTTTGTCTTCCATTTCATTCACAGTTTAAGATTTAGACCATTTTGTTTTAAAAGAGAACTTGTTTGTTTTGGATTGGCCAGATAGTTTGCATCACATGACGGATTCTCTGTCAGAATATTGCCAAAGAGATGCTGTGTCTTCTGGACATCCCTTCTGAAGTGATGAAGGCCTCCTGTCCACCTGCCCATCATCATTGTTGAGGATGTCATTTTTGATCACCTGGACAAGGTGTTGTAACATCACCACAAAATAAAACTATAACCCCCCCTTGCAAATAATATCAGAAAAAGGGATGGTTCTGAGATGATATATATCCTACTCTATATCAAATCTCCCTCTAGCTTTGGGATCCTTTTATAATTCTTGTTGGAATTAATCTTTATTTTGATGGTTTTCAAATGATTTTCTAGTCTCTGCATTGTGATAGACTGTATGCCAGAGTCTTTCCTTCTTTCTCATTTATTCACTTAGAATCAATGCCGGCACACGGATTTTTATTTTTCCAATGGTTGTAATTCATGACTAAGGTAAGTTATTTTATACTGAAATTCTCCTAGATTTGGTCACTGGGAGTCCTTTAAGCTAACTCCTGTCATTGTGTCTTTATGAGGTGCCCTCAGCACTTTGAAGCAGTCACCTTCTGACATAGTAAGATTGGGATGGTTAGTTTTATGTGCCAATTTGCCTAGACTAAGGCATGACCAAATCACACCCATTGTTTTCTGTCCAAGAAGCTATTGCTTCTTGGGCTTTTAGATTCAGACAGGAATTGCATTATTGCCTCTCCCCAATTCTCAGGCTTTTGCACTCACAATAAGTTACACAACCAGCTCTACTAATTCTCTAGGTGACAGCTAGAAATGACAAAAAATGGGACTTCTTGGCCCCCATAATCATGTGAGCCAATTCTAGAATAAGCATTCTTCCATAGCCTCTCTCTCTCTCTATCTATATATCTATAGATATATGTGTATATATATATATATATATATATATTCTATTGATGCTTTTTCTCTGGAGAACCCTGACTATTGCTAAAAATAGTCTGGGCTTATCTAGAATTACTCTGCACAAGCCTCGGAACTGGCCTTTTCATTGACGAGCCTTGATTTCTTCTGGTAGAAAATGGTATTTAAGGGCTGGAAAGGTAGCTCAGTGGTAGAGTCCTTGCCTTGCATGCATGAGGCCCTGGGTTCGATTCCTTAGCACCACATAAACAGAAAAAAGCTGGAAGTGGCGCTGTGGCTCAAGTGGTAGAGCGCTTGCCTGGAGCTGAAGAGCTGAGGGACAGTGCCCGGGTTCAGGCCCCATGACTGGCAAAAAAAAAAAAAAATGGTATTTAAAAAACTAAGATGTTGGTTTCATGTGTGCTCAGTTGCTACATACCGCTACATACCTTTATCACTTGTTACTTGCAGCATCTATCTGTAAATTTATGTACTCATAAATATACATTCAAGTACATGCACATACACACACACACAGACATGCATGCATATACCCATGCTTTAAACTGGTGAAATCATATCAATGCCTACAACCCCAATCAACAGGGCTTTTTTTCCCTCCCCTTTCATATATGTGTGTCCCTTCTTCCATGGTGAGAACACTGTCCCAGCAATGAGATTCATTCGCTCATTTGCTGTACTCTGTCAGACATCTAAAACAGTTTCCTTTTGAGTATGTTTTGAAATATGGGGGATTTCCCATTGTGTGCATCTTTCCCCCCTAAGGTAAGATCTAGCAATGTCCCTCCTTAGCCTTCTTTGTAAGCAGGACACAAACAAATTGCCTGGATTCCACCAGCCCCATCCACCCACGTGAGACATTGGTTCAGAATGAAATCAGTTCTGTACTAACTAAGCATCTAGCTTTCTGGTGATAGTGAGTCAATGCTGAATCATCTGGATGTTATTGAGGATGTTAGGCTCTGCTCTGCACCCGTGGTGTTTGGGGTGGTGTTGAGAGCCACTCAAGCACAGTCAAGTTGGAGGCCATACAAGTTGTAAGATCTCACATTAAAGACAGAAGCAGGAATTCCTCCTGAGTCCACTTTTGCACATAGTTTTAGATAATAACCTTGATATTGAGCTTAACCTCAAGTTTGGCTACACAGTCCGTCCTTAGTTCTGGAAGTTACTCAGTATGCTTCCATAAATGCTTTTGTTCCCTACATGACAGTTTTATTATGTAGAATTTTGCCTCATAAACTTTCCCTATCCTGGCTCATTTGGCTGTATTTGCCATATATGTATATATATATATAGATATATAGATATCAGCAATTTTATTTTTGGAACAGTAAATGTGACTGCAGAACCTGAAAGGTTTA